ATTAGATGCATGATAGCTTATTCATATACCATGGTTCATGTACAAAACAGTACCTTTTGTCAGTGAAACATTTAGAACTGCAATAACTACTGTATATAGTGCATATTCACTTACCTGTTCATTTGTTTGCTCTGCAGGCCCAAACGATTGACGTTAAAGCCGTATAAGGAGTACTGGTTTGTTTTTAGGGACACCACCATTTCTTATTTCAAAAACAAAGAGTCTGCCAATAAGGAGCCCATTGAGCAACTCCATCTACGAGGTGGGCGGCCAATCAGAGACAAGATCGTTCATTTTAATATAGCCAATGCATCAGCAGGATAATGCATATCATTAATCACACAGGATGTGAGGTCATTCCTGACGTCAACGTCACCGAGAGGAAGTTTGGCCTTAAGCTGTTACTGCCTGCAGCTGACGGAATGAACGAGGTTTATATTCGCTGCGACAGTGTGAGTTTTATATCTTTGTTTTATATGCAGATTGTTGCACATGTCCTTTTGATTTTTGATAAAGTGAATATAAGAAACGTATCGTTATTAATATTTCACAATAAACATTTAGTGAACTGAAGAAATGTACATTACTTGATTATCATTTTTCAGAAAAATCATGTTAAATTGTCAAATATATCACATTAGGCTTTCGAGGAACGTTTATTGGTTAATTTCTCAATCATCATTGAAATTCATTACATTATATGTTTTGCTTCCAACGATTAAAACTAAAGAACTTTTATCATAAAACTAAGCTTCATGTTATTAAGACGTATTATGGGAGGAAACCGAGTGACAACCCAATTTTAAATGCATTTTTACATTACAAAAAATCTTGTATTTTGGCCATATAAATAGTAACACCTACTAAATCGATCCAATGGTGGCATTCGATTAGAGGCGAAGGTTTCACGCTAGGGCTGCAACTAACGATTATTTTGATAATCGATTAATCGTACGATTATTTTTTCCGATTAATCGGATACATTTTTTGTTTGTTTATTATAACCAAATAAAACCCTAAATCAGGGTTGTGGCAAACAGGACGAGGCCTTAATGATCTGATAATCACTCTTTTGTGTGTTAAACACAATCTACTTAATACAGAAAACTTGATTAAAAAGAAAAACAACAAATAAGGTATATATATGACCATAACCTATGACAAAAATGCTATTATAAACTAGATTAGTGGATAACTCAGCAAAACTTAAGTCAGAAAAATCACAAGTGCTCAATAATTGTATAAAATCTGAACATTTATCGAAAAAAAAAAACATTATTAGTGGGGAACAAATAAAAGACAAAAAGTGTAGCACTAAATCTGGTAAAACGTTACACATTGCTCTTTGTATTGTTGTAAAATATATTCATGAAAAACAACGTAAAGATGCACAGCTGTTTTAAATGTATAGCAAAGCTTTTTAGTGGTGCAGCAACATATAATAGATAGGACAGAACAAGAAAGGCTATTAATAATCTTTTATTGCGCTAAAATATTATGACATGATCATGAAAGACTCCAATACAGTGCTGCAAATCAGACATTTAAGGTGCAAAAGATTTTGATATCAAACAAATGCTGTTTTTAAAAACTTTCTATTCATCAAAGAATCCTAAAAAAATCACTTTCCACAAAAATATTAGCATTGAACAGCAAATCATTATATTAGAATAATTTCTGAAGGATCATGTGACACTGAAGACTGGAGTAATGATGCTGAAAATTCAGCTTTGATCGCAGGAATAAATTACATTTCTTACAAACAGTTCTTTTACATACATAACAAATATGCATAAAAAAGTTCAATAATATACTTAAAATAGATTTTTCTATTTCTATGTCAAATGTCAGGGTTAAATTACTATCAGAAGCTTTATGAGAGTTTGCATTTATTTGTTTCGTCTGCCAAAACTAAATGAAAACAGGAAATGCAGTACGCCAAGTGGAAAGCTGCCTGTATTTTGGCCTCTAAAGGAAAAACGATGGCTTACAGCTCGTACCGCACCGAGGTGAAGAACATCCAGTCGTTCCTACAGATGAAGAGTCTAGCGCCCCCTTCTGGCCAGGCAGCGCCTGACGTAGAGTCCATGGAGATGAATGCCGAGTGCTTCGTTTCTCCCCGATATGCAAAGAAGTACAAGACCAAACAGGTGAAATTACATCTCGAGTCGACACACAGAACGGCAGGATATGGCATTACAGCATTGGCTATCTGAGACCTGTTACAATAATAGCAATATATATGTTTATTCTTCTTATTTTAGCTGACCACACGAATCCTGGAGGCCCATCACAATATTTCCCAGCTTTCCCTCATGGAGGCTAAAATGCGTTTTATCCAAGCTTGGCAGTCCCTGCCCGAATTTGGCATCAAGTACTATATCGTCAGGTAATTTAGCTGAACTACATTTGTGCAATGCATTTTTAGGCTGAGTATGGATTTGAACCCTTCAACCATGAATTATGATTAAGATTGTAGTTTTCTTTGAAGTTGTGTACTATAAGTGCTTTTTACAGTTCAGTTTTCTGAAAGTTAAATGAGTTTACATTGAAATGTCTAGTCTAGTTTTCTGAAAAATGAAAATGGTAATTTAATGAGAGTTGTCTTTCCATTTAAAGGTTAAATATATTGAGATGTATTTTTTTTTCATTAAGTATTTCAATAATAGGACTATTCAATTATTCATTCAGTTTAGTCTAATTTTGACTTTCTGTTAATTTCATTATTCAAAAATACAGATACTTCACAGTGGTTTGTACAAATTATATATAATATTAGTTTTTTTTACTAACAAAAATTAGACATAATTTCCAGTGCCATATTTGTCAAGTACTTTTGCTGAATTACTTTGGCTGTTATTTCTCAGGGACATTTCTAGGGTTTTTGAGCCTTTAAACAATGAAATATGATTCAAAATGTAGCTTTTAAGTTGTGTACTCCTAATTAAGTGCTTTTTTCAGTTCAATTTTTCAAATAATAAATGAGTTTATACATTAACGCATCAAAATGTACAAGTGTGTTTGGCTATTTTTCTAACAAAACAAAAATTAAATTGGGATTTAATAGCGTTGTCGCTCCATTTAAAGATCCGATTGCAATTGTAACTGTACTCATTGAGTATGGTATGTCTGCCTTCATTATTATAAGGTCCAATTGTGACTTTGTCGATTCATAATCAAGCACTGATCATTTTTGGTGCTTGAAATTGTTTGAACAAACTATAGTCAATGAATCATTAAAACATGCTGAATGTGATTTTTTTTCATAAACATAATAAGACATAATAGTATCTTCAGGTAATTTAGCTGAACTACAGATTAATTAGTGCCTGGCATTGCTCAAGTCTGAATATGGTTGAGGCCTTCAACCATGAAATAAGATCACAATCATTTCACTCTGTCTTTTGCGTGCCACAGATTCAGAGGGAGCAAGAAAGATGAGCTCCTGGGAATTTCCTACAACAGGCTGATCCGCATCGACATGTCAACCGGTTTGCCTGTGACCACCTGGAGGTTCTCCAACATGAAACAATGGAACGTCAACTGGGAGATTAAACAGGTGAATAAAATAACCTTTGTAACCCGTGTGGCTGGTGCAAAGATGACTTTTTTTTTTTTTGAGCGTGTTTGTTTGTGTTACAGGTGGCCATTGAGTTTGACCAGAGCGTGTCCATTGCGTTCTCCTGCCAGAGCTGCGACTGCAAAGTGGTTCACGAGTATATCGGAGGATACATTTTCCTTTCAACGCGCTCAAAAGACCAGAATGAAACATTAGATGAAGAACTCTTCCACAAACTCACGGGAGGACAAGACTGACCTCACATCAACACGTCAGGACTCTGACATGGCCCTTAGTGTTGCAGGAAAGCAATCTGTACTGTATATTGTTTTTGTTTTTTTTAATCTGCCAAAGTCGTTTTATATTTGTACTAAGACACACAAGCCTTGTGCTCAAAAGAGAAAATAAATTGGATTATTCAATCCATGTTTTTGATCTGAAACAATACATTTGGTGACTCTTCACATCTTTTTTCTTGTTGTTTTTACATCTGAACAATATAATTTACTGTGCACATTGCCATATGTGATTTTGTGTTATTAGATGTTTTCGTCCAAGTGAGATTTAGTCTAGAACTACAATGACCATCATGTTTACACAGCGCACACAACACCTCACTTTATTGCTCTCAACATGGGGACAAGAGACCTGTCAGTCAATAATTGTGGAAAAGTAACTTAGATATTTTATTTTAAATTGAAAAAGTAATGTGTTACTTTACTAGTTACTTGTAAAAGTAATCTGATTACATAACTCAAGTTACTTCAATGAGTTACCCATCAACACTGTGCATGTCTTCTGGCTTATTCTCTGTTTGTTTGTTTTTTAGTTTTTTTTTTTAAGTAATTTTGTTTTCATTATGTTGGCTGGAAAATCTTAATATAGTCTAATGAAATATTCACTTCAATTATGAGATCAAATTATGTCTGAATTTCACAATCAAGTACTGATAATTTATCATATTTGAAATGAAGTAAATGTTTGTAAAAATGTTTGTAAAAAACTAACGTGCTGAATGAATTAGGTATTTTTTATAAATTAGATGTAAAATTTGCTTTTAGTTTTTATTAATAGAACCAAATGTGATGTAACTACATTATAGTGAACTATACATATAGAGTACTTGCAATATGCTCTATTATGTTAGAAACATTGGTATTTTAGTGATATAGTTATTGTACGTGTCAGACAACCATAGCTAATGCTGTAGTTTTTCAAGTTTCAAGTAAAATCAGCAAGATATTAAGATAATACACACAAATAGTATAGTTTTTTTTAGTATAAACCTATTGTAAGGTTTGGTCACTTATAAATGAGGATATATATGAAATATACACGTTTATTTTTAAGTGACTAAAAATCGTTGTGATCTGTGTCTTATTAGTTTTCCTGACAGACTGTGGCTCTCGAAATCAGCACTCGATTAACTGGCCTCTCAGAACAGGAAGTGACAGAACACAACACACGTGGGGAAACTAGGGAGCATAGCTTGTATGAATTACTTGTTTGCAGATAGATACTGCCACGGTTTGTTGTAGTGTAAACTAGTTTTTAAACATTCTCCGGCCGATCTTTATCCACGCTGATCCCAGTAAAGTTAAATGGCGGAGTGTGTTAATGACAGTGATGCTGAGAGCACAATAAATTACGGAGATTATGTTGTGCTGAAAAGAGGAGATGTCTTCAAATCAGTGCAGGTCGAAAATAAAAAGTGAGTTTTACAACTTTTAATTAATGTCATCTTTCTTATAAGTCTTGCCGGTTCAATGGCTTGAGGTTTTGTATAAGTTACACCACCTTGAAAACACATTCATTGAAAAACGAATTAAACCTGCACATCAAAGAAACATTTCTGCGCTATTTCGGTGTAATAATCTTCAAAAGCTAAACATGATATTAACTTAGACTTCATGTCAATTGTATTCATCTTTGCACTTAAATTATTGTAAAAGATTTTGTTGTTGCGTTTTTCATTAGTGGTAGACTTGTGAAGACCACTTATCTTTAAGCCATATAACATAAAAAAGGAGCAGCTAATAATCTTATCTGTTGTATATCTGACAATTGCTAGTACAAGTATAATATTCACATTTCACACCATGAAATCAAAATTGACTTTTTTTTTATTTTTATTTTTTTATGGAATATTATGGCAGCTTGTCACTCACATGAGATCCACAAATAGCAAATATCAAGTCTCAAGTCCTGCCCTACATTTTTTCTTGTCCAGGAAAAGCTTTCACTTGTCACAATAAGGAAGAAAATACCATGGCAACTTCCGGTAGGGTAGGCAATTTTCGGAGCGCCTAGCAATTAGCATGCTAACTTTGAAACTATGAACTCCCACCGTCCCTTTGGAGCGTATCCAAAGCCACGCATACAGCAGGGAGCAAACTAAACTTCCTAATGTTTCAAAGCTCATAATATAACAGTAGTAATCAACATAATGATCTCTGAAATAAAAATAAAAATCGCTAGTTAATACCATTTAACAAGGCTCAAAATAGCCCAACCCTAACACTGCAGCATAATCAGGGTCCCTACATGCAAACCGATGCATTGAGAATGTTGTAAGTGGACAGACCGTTTAATAAGAAGATATTTTATATAGACAGTCCACTTCGCAATACATCTTTGGATAACAGTCTCGAGCAGTCGAACCACGAACGCAAGTTCTGGCTCGTTCACATTTCACCATCGCACTTGGCTCGGCGTTCGTGGTTCGACTGCTCGAGACTGTTTTCCAAAGTTTATTTATAAGTGAACTACTCCTTTAAGGGCTTGTTACTCGCCTCACTTGCTTTGACTTGACATTCTGTGCGTTGTGTGTTTTAGGAAAGTGATCTTTGAGAAGCAGTGGTTCTTCTTGGACAATGTGGTTGGGCAGCTGCACGGGACAATGTTTGAAATCGAAGCCGGCGGGTCACTCAAACCCAAGGCAGTAAAACGTGCAGGAGACTCTTTAGGTAATGATATTACACATTTGTTTTCTTATTTGTGTGTTCATTTATTTTCTCCTGGACGAGATGAATTTGTTCCTCTTTTCCGCTGTCATAGATTCTAAAGAAGCAGGCCAGGATAACAGACATATAGTGGATGATGGCAGATCTCAAAAACTGACCAGGGATGATATCGAAACATTGAAAGAGCAAGGTTAAAGGGCCAGGTATGTACCCGAGTAAAGGCTACTTTTGCAACCGCATTTACTTAGGTGTGAGTCTCGAAATGTTCCATTCGAACAGCAACTTTTAGTAACGTCTTAAATACCGTCTTTATGGGGAGTCGAACCTGTATTCTCTTACCAGTAATCATAGCAACAGTGACAACATGATATCAAAGATGGCAACCTCGATACATTCAAAGGGGAATCAGATTTACGTGTTTAGACTTAGTTCAGATGTCAAGTTATTGGAAATGTATCTGATTTTAAACCACGTTTGGAAGTGTTTTAGAACGGATGTGAAAAAACTAGTATCTCATGTGGATTTTTGTGTTTACTGATCTGTCAGATGTGTGAGGAAAAATCAGATTTTTTTTTGTACCAGTGTAAATGCAGCCTAAAATCTTTGAGAATGCCGTTGCGAGCCTGTTGTGGCTATAGATGTGGTTGTCACTCCCGTAAATAACTAAACTGTATGTGAACGTAACCGGACTGAATCCAAATATGACTGGTTCCCTGTGAGATTTTTGTCGTGTAATCACGTCTGGTGAAATTTTGTTTGGCCATTTGCTGTGAAAAGTAGCACACTTCTTGAGAGCAAGCCGTTTTGAAGTGATTCATAGCCCTGTTGAAGGTATTTAGGTTTTCATATTTGGTTACAAAGACATTTCTCTCACGTGTTTGTCCTTTCATGTGCATTTAAGGAGATTGTTCAGCAGCTCATAGACAACAGTACAACATTCAAGGACAAAACTGAATTTGCTCAAGCGAAATACATCAAGAAGAAAAAGAAAAAGTGAGTTGATAAACATTTTGAATTCATATCGTATCAATCACTTGAAAAATATAACTATTAACATGTACTTTGCCTTTATGCACACAGGTACGAGAGTGACATCACAGTCCTGAAACCCTCCGCTCGACTCCTCGCCATGATGTACCACGGCAGAGAACCAGGGAAAATATGGTATGGGATCTAGGAAGAGTAGTTCACTCAAAAATGAAAATAGTCATCATTTACTTCACTTAAATTTTTTTTATTTGAATCCCATATCTTACATTCACATACAAGGGACTATGTTGATACAAAATCCAGGAAATAATTAAGTCGATTATAATGATAAATTCTGCCAAAAATATGTATTTGAAAAAGATGTCTTACTTTCTTTATTGTTTAATTGGGGTCGATCGCCAAGACTTGAGAGAATAATTTTATAAAGTAAAAAATGTTCACTATTAACGTTTTGTGTGTGAATAAAATGTAAATAATGTAATTAAACAAACCTTTATTTCGAACTAACAGCTGTGCCTGAAAATGTGAAATAAATCACTTGTTTTTGCACAGGACGTTTGTCAGAGACGCATCCGCCAAACCGCAGGTGTTTAGAATAGAAAAGGCAATCACTATTTTGAATCACTATTTTGTAATATCAGTGGCAGATAGACAAAATGATAATGTTCATCATTACTTTATTGTCTTTTATGCATAAACAACCACTCTTAGTTAATGAACAAATTCAAATATTTACATTCTTGGTGCTAATTTCCTGTACAGCACAAATAGGCCTACCTATAAAACACTGTATTATATTATATCACTGTATATATGTCCAGTTTCATTCAGGTATAATTTATGTATATACTAGAATACGTTTTGCTATCCAAATTTAAAATCATTTACTTGAAGATTTTAGCTTAATATTTGACTTCTTTAATAACATAGCCACATGGTCACAGTTCTCAGTGTTATTTTATCATTATTTATATAATTCGAATTGGCTTTTGTTCTCTATTTTTAGTTTTTGTTTTAATTTTATTGTGTGCTTTTTTCATTTTAATTATTTTTTTAGCGCTATCAAATCGATTAATCGTGATTAATTGCGTCTAACATCAAACTTTTGTATGTATATAAATACCTTGTTTCAAGTAAACGTAAAGTAAAATATGTCAAATTTTACAGAGTTTTTTATTTTGATTGTCTATTTTACATTTTTATGATTTAATTAATAGCCTAAACCCCAGTTTGAGAAACCCTGTACTAGTACATATCAGGATTTGAATGTTTCATAAGCATTTATAGTATTTGTTCCACTCTTTTAGTCACCTGCGGTACGACACATTGGCTCAGATGTTGACTCTGGGTAACATCCACGCTGGCAGTAAAATCATTGTGTTTGAGACCTGTGCTGGACTTGTGTTGGGCTCAGTGATGGAGAGAATGGGAGGTAATCACTGCTTTATCTTCATACAATAGATCTATTGATAAACCTATATCAGCTGACCACTGTTGGACTATGCTGATGATCTGAACGTTTTCTTCCTCAGGTTTTGGCTCTGTGATTCAGTTGTATCCCGGTGGAGGGCCAACGAGAGCCGGCATGGAGAGCTTTGGCTTCCCGTCACACTTCCACGAGACGCTGCATGACTTCCCTTTATGCAAAGTTAACGCTCTGCTGGCGGGAACCCTGGATTTGACGGAGAAGGACACAGATTCTCAGGCCGACAGCAGCAGGATCGCTGGATCTGACTCTTCTCAGGAAACCTCAGGTGTGTGTGAGGAGAAGAAACCAGAACCTGAGAGTATGGAGGTCAGCGTCGACCCGGAAGAGGAAATGAGGAGAGCGGAGAGAGAAAGACTGCGAGAACAGAGGGTAAGAGAGTTTAACATTCGTAAATCGCTTCGTGTTTGGGTGTTTCTGCTACTACTATTATGTCCAAGGGGTTGATTTAAAAAAAAAAAAACATTTTGTTAACATTTATTGAATTGGAAAAATATTTCCATGCCTTCATTTAATTTATTCATCATGCTGCTTTTGCTTTTTTTTTTGGTATAGATTTTATAGTTTCTAAATTTGAAAACATGAATATAAAACTTTCAATTTTAAATTATGAATGTAATTTAGATTATTATACATATTAATTATTACTTGGAGATCTTTTAAACAAAAAGACTAAAAACTCAAAAAGTCCAAACCTTTCCTTTTTAAAATATTATATGTATTGAATAATTACGAATATCAATTATTATTATGTTCAAAAATGTATTTAAACAAAAAATAAATAAATCAATATTTAAAACTATTTATATTTTGTCCATGTTAGTTGGAGTTTCATAAACCTTTAATGAGTAATTAGTGTGTGTCTGATGGGTCCAGACCCTACATATCTGATCAATTTAAAAAAAAAAAAATGTTTAAAAAACCATTTAAAAATGTGCTCTATTCAGTCCATTTTAACATATGAATAAAATGTAAATAATTATAAAAATGAAAAGCTAATCAAACTGTTTAAAAATGTATTGTGTTTCCCTCAGTAAAGTGTTTTCAAAAGTCTACTTGGTTACCAAGGTGATAAACATTTTAATGAAGAGCAGCTTGAGGTGAAATGTGTGAAGGAAACAGTTTAACAATGTTCGTGGGCAATTTTAACTTAGTCAGTGTTAGAAGTGTCTTTTAAGAGTTTTCCTAAAATGTCAGTATAAGTCAAGTACGTCACCGTTCTAACCTTACAGGCTCAAGAGAAAAAGGTGAAGATGGAGGAGAAGAGGAAGAAGTTGGCCTCAGCCGCGGCTCTGTTAGAGGGGAGAAATGCAGATGGGTATGTGTTTGTGTAGTTAAAGGCCTCTTATATACTTTACTTTAGCTAAAATGTTAGTTTTAAAGAGCCCCTATTATGTGAAGTCTCCTAAAAACAGGTTTACATGCATCAAAGGTCAAAAAACAGTTTCATTTCCTCATAATATACATTTGAAGTGAACATCACCACATTTTCAATTATTCTCAAATGACTCGTCAGATGAATCAATCTTTTTTTAAATCCCTCCTTTCCGTGAGCTTCTCTGCTCTGATTGGCCAGACAGCTCAGTGTGTTGTGATTGGTCTGCGTAAGTACATAAACACATTTCAGTAGAGTTGAGGGAGCATTCTTCAAAGACAAAATGAACCCACCTCGTCTTCAGCGGCTGGCTCAGATTCCAGGAGTGAACAGAGAGAGCTATGTGAATGAATACATCCAGCCACAACACCTTCAACGCTTGGGAGACATTTTTATCAGTGCAGAAATGTGTACTACTCGATCAGGGCGGGTCTAAGTTAAAACGGCAGTGTCTGTCAACACTCGTGGGCGGGGCCTGTGGCTTTAGTAACGTCACTGAAAACAGGTCGTTGGGAGACCCTGCTTATGATTTATGGGGATTTAAAAAAAAAAAAAGGAGTGAGAGGGTTTTTATAACACGCATCTATGTCCAAACACCACACAAAAGTGAATTTTGCATAATAGGTCCCCTTTAAGTCTTTGCAGGATGAGCTGTTACACACTACATGAAACCCATAATAGGTGTTCTTTAACTTTACTGTAATGCATTTAAAACAAATGATCATTTTATATGTCCTGGTAGTTGATGAGTATTGTATTTTGTATTTTGATAATTGATGAGTCTGGTCATGTCATATTTTGCATTGATCTGCAGTCGTCCAGTGATTCGCCTGCTTGATTCTGGGTGAAGCTGATTTGAATGTTTGTTTCAGGTTGGTGATTGCTTGTCGGTTCCACCCCTGTCCCGTGTTAATGGGTCTGCTGAAGTTCCTAGCACCGTCACGGCCGTTCATAGTGTACTGCCAGTACAGAGAGGTAAAGCCACTGATTTGAGTTTTAAAGTTCCCCCAAAAATGAAGATTTTATAATCGCCTAATAATTGTCAGCGTTAAACACTGAAGTAGTTATTTAGCAAAAAAAATAGCGTTTATTTCCAATTGCCTGGCCTAAAAAATACCATATAATCAAGTTTTTTATAGTGATTTATACAATACAGATTGTTTCAAAGCAGCTTTACAGTGATAACAGGAAAATGATGCATTTCGGCTGAAGTCATACCATTTCTTTAGAAAGATATTCGATTTGAGTGTTTTGATAACTGCTTTCCTCTTTAATCTCTTCTGGACAGCCGCTGATTGAGTGCTACACAAAGCTCAGGGAACAAGGAGGAGCAATCAGTCTCAGATTAACAGATTCCTGGCTCAGGCATTACCAGGTAAATTCTTCATCTCAATGAAGATTATTCATTTTAAACAGTTGATTCTAATACCAGGCTTTGATTTATACTTGTTTTACAATAATTAGTTAACATGAATTAAAAATAACAGCATTTTTTAATCCTAGTTCATGTTCATTTCAACATGTAATAATACGAGGGCTTGGAGCCAGAGGGGCGTAAGTGGCATTGTGGGCATATGAGTTCTTTATATCAAAATAAAGGTCTCGATGAGCTCTATCCAATGGTGCCAAAATACCTATCTGAGATCAAACTGTATTGAATAAAGCAACAAAAAGGCGTATCTGCCGTATTTGACTTTTTTTTTTTATTTGAAAATGTTTTAGAACATGTTCATTGTGTTAATATGCCATTAATTTTTTACTTAAATGCTCATTCATGTAAGTATGCCTGTGGTTGCAATGTTTGTGGTTTAAGGTTAATAATACAGGTGATTGAAGTGTGGTCAAAATTTTGCTTTTTCTCTCCTGTAAAGTTTGTTAAAAGCCACTTACGCCCCTCTGGCTCCAAGCCCACATTATTAAAACCAAATGTTGTATTTGTTAACATCACTGTGAACTAACATGAACTAAGGCTATGTCCACATTCATCCGGATACATTTGAAAACAGCGTTTTTGTTTCAAAAAAGCCTTTTCTGACGTTTCAGTGTGGATGAGAAACTTTTATTATTCAACATATTGCGCATGCGTGAAAACTCACCGAGACGAAACGAATGGAAAAGCGAATAATAAAGTTATCGCGCAATTCTTCTAATAGCATAATTTTATTTAGCAAAATACCTCACCATCACTGATGCGTCCAGGTCGCACACAGTCACCATATGGTTGGTCTAAACGCAACTGCTCTCATGTATTGCTGCGGGACAGCAAATGTGAGCACGTTTTCTGTCATCTGTGCAGGACTGTGGTATGACGAGTGTGCAAAGAAACATATTTTAGCAACAGTGTAAAAGTGAATAGCACATAACAGGTACTATACCGGGTACAACATGGATCACATGACTAAACTTACGTCATCGTTTTCAAATACATCTGGCTTCACAGTCCACATTACGACGCGAAAAGATACGTTTTCGTTGACTTGAAACGGCGTTTTAGGGTGGACATGACCTAACAATGAACAGCTGGATTTATATTAACCTACATTAACAAAGATTAATAAATACTGTTGCTCATTGTTAGTTCATTGTAGTTAATAGATTAACTAATGTTAAAAAATGAGGCCGAGACCAGGTGTTACCAGGGTTTTTTCCCCATAAAAAAAGAGAAAAGAAATTAATAGTCCTATTCATTAAGGATGCATTTAAATTAATCAAAAGTGACAGATTCTGTTTCAGTTTCTGTTTCAAATAAATATTTGTACTTTTTAATCCTAAATGCAATCAATGGATTGCAGCTTATCGTTTTCAACATTGATGATAATCAGAAATGTTTCTTTAGCATCAAATCTGCATATTAGAATGATTTATTAAGGATCATGTGACACTGAAAACTGGAGTAATGATGCTGGAAATTCAGATTTGACCTAAATAAATTAGAAGATTATTATAATATTATATATAAAATTAAAGATTTAAGATTAGAATATTAAAATTAAAGATTTAAGAAATTTAAAGATTAGAAGGAATAAATTCCATCTTAAAATATATTCAAATAGAAAATTTGCTTTAACAATATTTCACAATATTACTGTATTTTTGACAAAACCCAAACTTTTGAGTGGTAGTGTACATCTATCAAATTCCATATATTAAGAAAAAAAAATCAACATTTGTGATGCATTTAAATCTCTGGATTTTCCAAAAATTGGCCATGGTTTATGTAAAAACATTTTTTTGTTGCATTTCCAGCCAAAATAGCTACATTGTTATCATGTCTTCTTATATAATAGTAATTGTATATGTCATACCGCCCACCCCTAGAAAGACTTTGATGACTTCTCCACTTCTGTATCATTGTTCCAGGTGTTGCCCAACCGGACTCATCCAGTGCTGCTCATGAGTGGAGGCGGAGGGTATCTGCTGTCTGGAACCACGGTCGCTACAGGCGCTGCCAAAGCTAGCAATCAGCGCAAACCAGACGAGCCTGCCGCCAAGAGGATGAAACTGGATGAGATTAGTTCATCTTGTGACGGCTCTGCCAAGGCAATTTAGCTTAACTTGCTTAAGTGAGAAGAAACCAAACCACATTCAGGCAGTGCTTTATTCTCTGTATGGTTGCATGACTTTATTATTCAAAGTCTACCTTTTTTTTTAGTTTTGTGAAGATTTGCATTTAAGAGCCACAGAGTGATCCCTTCATCGTTATTTATTTATTTTTTTAGCAAGATGTGGGGGGTGTAAAAGATGCATTTACTTTTGTAAAAGACGCCATCCTCTGCACTTGGCGAATAACCAAGTTTTGCTCACAATAAAGCTTAGTCAATCATTCATCGCTAAGCGAAACTGTATATTTATCGGTTTTTAATAATGTTTAAACACAAATGATAACTGCATCCATCAGCGTTGGTCCCATAGTTACATATTTTATTAAATACAAACAATGCAGGGGTTCTATTGAAGGCAGGAATTTTTAAACACGTGCAGCATCTTTAACGTAGCATGCTCTTAAATGCAGTCAATAGTACATGGGCATTTGTCTTTGTTATTTTAGATTATGTAATAAAGAGGAAAATAATTCACGACATTATCAAGCTAGTTTTGCTTTTTATAGACTCAGACTCTCACATTAAATATACACCGACTTGCGCCAATAACAAAAGTCTTATGCAGTTGTAAATGGGTACAACATATAAAGCAGCCCAAGTGAGCACACATAAAGCTGAGGTAAAGTCAAATCAGGCAGCAGAGGAAGATGATGTTTCAGCTGGTTCTTGGAATGGTTAAGTTGTGTCTTTCATCTGTTGATCCACAGAGGCCAGCTTCTCAAGTTCGGTTAACTGATGAAAGAAAAGAGCAGGAATTAAATGTAATACTTCTAACCATTGCCTTAATCACTCCCCATGTTTGTCTGTTTTTGTGTTTGCGAAAGACTAAGCGAAAGCGTTTTTAGCTAACGCTAGACACTCTGCTGAAGACGCCGTGCTTTGGGCGCTTGAGAGCGTTTTGGCAGCGCAGCGTTTTTTCCGTTGAGGCGTTTTGTTGCTATGATACAGAATATCCGCAGCACAGTTTGAATGTTGTGACAGTTGGTCTGTGTGGTTTAGTCCCGCCCCTCCTCCACTGTGATTGGACGGCTGGGTAAAAAGTGACCGTGATGAGCACTGCGTTTTATCCAAAGTTTGGATATCCAAACATTTTGGATAAATGGGCGCTTCAGCATGAAAAAAACGCTCAGCGCCTCATTACGCTCATGGCGTAAAAAAACGCTCCCATTGAAAACAATTGAAAATATACGCCAGTGGCGTGGAAAAAAGCTTTGGTGGACACTCGGCCTAAGGGTGTCACGATTTCGATTTTAAATCGAAATTAATTCACAATCTCAAACTTCGAATTAAAAAATGGACTCGTCAATGCTGCCACGCCCCATGTCACATCTGTTAAGGCCAATTTATACTTCTGCGTAGGGTGCGCGCAGTAGGTACGGCGTAGCATACGCACAGTCGCGTCCCATACCGCGTACCCTTCGCCGTCGCCTGACGCGCACCTCTTCAAAAATGTAACTACACGTCGCGACGACGCGGACCGCAAGATCGGTGATTGGTCGGCTTGGTAGCATCGCATTTCCTCCTATCCATTTCCGCACGTACCTTCTCACGCATTTCCACCACTATCTATGATTTCCACACGTATCATCTCCTCCGACGTCTTCTCTCATTTCTGCCTTTCAGTTTTAGTAATTTCACTAAAGTGAACTGTTTTTCCACCTCAATAAGCTCCAACTCCAACATTATCAGCTGTCTTTCAGTCGCTATTGCTTGTAGTAACCTAGCCGTGAGGAATCTAAACACAGTGGAACATTAAAACCCTCCGCCGCCAACTAGCGTTTCGGAGCAGTACTGCAGAGCAACCAAGACCTGAACGCAGAAGTATAAATGCTCACAACGGCATCGCCTACGTGCGTAGCCAACGCCGTAGATTACGGCGTACCCTCGACGCAGATGTATAAATTGGCCTTTAGGCTTGCCAAGCGGAAAAAACGCGCGTTGAAGTGCTGCAGGTCTATGGTCAACCTCCTCTAACTTAGCTACAGCCATTCAAATGATAGCATGGCACCTGCAGATGCAGGATAGAGGTGAACCCCGTCCTCTTTCATTGAAGTCGTAGGTGTGGAAGTTTTTGGGATTTCGTTCGCGCTTCAAAAAAGCCGCAGTTTGCAGACATCCCAAGTCTCCCACATATTGATATGCACGCAAATTAGTTAAAATGTCTCGAAATCTAAAGTGAGACATGCCGAGCCAAAAAACTGTGCTCCAAACCGTATTGCGGGCACGGCAGAGAGGGGGAGAGCAAGAGACCTTGCGTGTGTGCCTCATGAAGCCCATATAAGACAGAGAGCATCCTGATTGGCCGATTGATAAAAATCGAGAATCGAACCGTGACCTTGGAATCGAAAATGTAATCAAATCAAGGATTTGGAGAATCGTGACACCCCTACGAAAGACAGTTCGTTGCTCTAGTCCAGGGGTGTTCAAACTCGGTCCTGGAGTGCCACTGTCCTGCAGAGTATAGCTACAACTTGCCTCAACACACCTGCCCGGAGGTTTCTAGGATGACCTTGATTAACTGGTTCAGGTGTGTTTAAATGGGGTTATAGCTAAACTCTGCAGGACATTGGCCCTCCAGCAGGATTGGGCGAAATCAACGAAATATCCTATTTCCACAGTCTCAGTAGAAAAGTTAGAAGGAAGTACCTTTAGTTATACAATATCCCTGTCATGATGAGAATAATGCTCTTAGCATGCTCTCTCTCTCTCTCTGAGCATTCAGAGTCTAGCTATCCCTCTACACCCTCAAATAAAAGTAATTTTACTGCATAGCTTGCAGGCATATCAGATAACTCAAATGTCCTTGTAATAGGAGAACATTTGACAAAAGTCACCAGAGATACATTTTTGCTGGAAGGTAATTACCACTTTTTAGTGCAGTTGGAGTTGCATGTAATAAAAACTGAGAAAAGGGTAACAGTCTGCCCACGTCCTCTCTTAGTAACTCAACCGATAAGCTACGTCAAGCAGAAAAACTGGCCTTGTTTTTCACGAGCTCCATGGAGCAACGTTTGATCGCATTAATGTCATTTTTTGCATGCAATGCATCACTGTCTTCATGAATATCTCAGGTCAGTCCATGGTTTCTATTCCCGTTTGTACTAGCCTAGGAATGTAGGCTTTAGGGCTCAATGGGGCCATTTGTTAAACTTCCCAAACCAATTCCCAAAGGTTCCCCAGCAAAAACACATTTTAGGTATCTTTCTTATCTGGCACACCAATTCCAGGACTTGGTGTCTCAACAAATAAATTCAAAGTAGGAAGACACCCAAAATGTGTACTTTGTCAGGGAAAAAAGGTATCTTTAGGGGTAGAACAGCTTGTCTCTGGGGCAGTAACCATAAAAGGACAACTTTGTAATTGTATATACATCTAAAAGTTGCAGATTTTAATGGTTTAATGGTTTAAAAGTTTAATGGTTTTCTATGTAGAACCCTAGTGTTCTTGACTCAGTTTTGAAGAACCCTTCATGTCAAAAAGTGTCTGTTATTGCATAATACTTTTAATATTGAATGGGTTATTTAAAATGTTCTAGTGATCAAGGATATTTACCAGCTTTTTAATCCATAAAATGTAATCAATCTAAAAAATGAATTAAAACTAAATTCATAAAATTACCCCATAATGGGAACCCCTAAAAGTTCTACATATGAAGCACTTTACACAATCCTTTAACCCCTTATTCTCCTTTTATGGCGCTTTTCCCCTGCAGTTAGTACCGCTTCAAAGTGGGTGGGATTATAGCCTGACCGTTATAGTTTATCCGCTCCTCTGCAACCAACAAGAGGAACGTCTGAACTTCGTCCACTGACCACGATTCAGCCATTTTTTTTTTTTGGAAGTTTTCTTTCTTTTTCTTCAAGCAATTCAAGCAAGTAGTTTTAAAACAGGTGCTACAGCGGTGGCTGTTACTGGCTACTGGCTATTTAAATCTAGTGGGTTTGATGTCTCGCAAATACAATGACGCTGGTTGTGACGATTCCGTCTGACTGACCAATCAGTGGTCTGCAATATGTTCACGTCACATTTTAGTATCGGAAAGGTACGCTTGGAACCTAAACAGAGGTGGTACCATTTAAAGCCAGCCGTACCATACCATGCAGTGAAAAAGTGCCATTAGTGTACTGTGAACCTTTTCTGGGGTAAATAAGGTATGAAGATGTCCCTTTGAGGGTACTGCCCCCTAGTGACATGCTGTGGTACACTCTTAGAAGAAAAGGTTCTATATAGAACCTTAAAAGGTTCTATCAGCGCTACGTATTTGGAACCCCTAAAAGGTTCTATACACTCTTAAAAAAGGGTTCCTCTGGGTTCTATATAGAACCCTGGGGTTCCATACTTGGCCAATAGAACCTTTTACCAAAAAAATGGTTCTATATAGAACCATTTTGGAGTTCCATATATGAAGTGTGGGATGGAACCATTTCTGGTTCTAAATAGAACCATTTCTTCAAAGAGTGTACCCCTAAAGGTAAAATCTATGCCCTTTTTTTTCTAAGAAAGACTCTTGGAAAGTCTCGATGGGCAATCCTGGTAATTAATGCCCTGTCTGTTGGATGAAACTTCCATACTATACCTCCTTTGGTGTGAAAAGCTTCTGTTGGGAGACATCCTTTTCCTCCCCTGATGACGACTCCTGAGAAGGCAGGCCCCTTTTGTACCGGAGGGTCTCTGCGACGTCTTCTAGTTTGAGGTTGGGGTGTTCAGTGCTTTCACCCACCTTGTGGCTTCTTTTGTACCAGGCTGGATGGTAGTATCCTCTGTTAATCCATGGGGAGCGTTTCTCATAGACCTCACCTTTGTTAAGTAGACGTTCCTCTAACTCGTTCTTTTTCTTCGTTAGGTACCTCAATGCAGCCTCCTGTCCTTGCTTCAGCTCATTTTCGTTAACCTCATGGACAATTTCCTTTTCCTCCTCTTCAGGTGAACGGAGCTTGATGGCCTTGTCTATTGACTCATGGAGACTGGGAGTCTTCTCTAAGATGGGTTCATCCTCATTCTCGAGCTCTATGGAGTCGCCACGCTTGTGGGGATGCTTCTTATGGTGGTATCTATGAGTGGGTTTCCAGTATCGTTTTGCAATATCCTCGTCTACCTCTTCGGATTCCTCAGACCTCATTTCCGGAGAGTTCATGTCCTCAGATTGCTCGTTCAGCAAATCCTTGATTTGTTTTTGGTGCCTGCCATTTCCATAGCTCCTTTTGTTGGTGTAGCTTGGGAATTCTTCTTGACTTCTGTCATAGTCTGGTTCTTCAAAACCCTCGTTCTCACTTCGTTTGTGGTGCTTTTTCTTGTGGTGGTATCTATGTGATGGCTTCCAGATCCGCTTTTCCCTCTCCTCACTCTCCTCGTCCTCTTCTTCTCCGTCCCCGTAGTTTCTTTTGTTGGTGTAGCTTGGAAAGTCTTCTTGACTTCTGTCATAGTCTGGTTCTTCAAAACCCTCGTTCTCACTGCGTTTGTGGTGCTTTTTCTTGTGGTGGTATCTATGTGATGGCTTCCAGATCCGCTTTTCTCTCTCCTCACTCTCCTCGTCCTCTTCTTCTCCATCCCCGTAGTTTCTTTTGTGGGTGTAACTTGGAAAGTCTTCTTGGCTTCTATCATAGTCTGGTTCTTCACGTTTTTCTCTGCTGGCCAGAAGATGACTTCTTTTATACTCGTATGGAGGGAATTCCTCCTGGCTGCGCTCCTCATCGGGGTTATCACGCTTGTAAAGGATGGAAAAATGTCTTTTCTGAGGAAATTCCTCTTGGCTTCTCTCATCATCATAATCTTCTCTTTTATGCTTGTAGCCTCTTTTATAGAAACTTGGGAACTCTTCCTGGCTCCGTTCATCGTCATGTTCCTCACGTTTTTCTTTGGTTCTCCTCTTCATAAAACTAGGAAACTCTTCCTGGCTCCGTTCATCATCCACTTCCTCACGTTTTTCTTTGAATTTTCTCTTCATAAAATTGGGGAACTCTTCCTGGCTCCGTTCGTCATCCAGATCTTCGCGTTTGTTAGGTTTGAGAAGATCCTCAATGAGTTCCTCCTCCTTGACTTTAGATTCTCCTCTTGGTTTTTTCAGCTCCTCTTGAGCATCTTCCTGATTTTTCACAACTGTGGAATGACCTGATCCTGAATTCAGGGAGACATAAAAAAAAGAGCACAAAACACACATGCAAATGACTCGTAACTCATTTTCTCTCCATTGCTTATGCATTGCATGAATACATCCAATTATTATTCCACCGTCTTAGAATGAAACCACTGACCCATAACTGTCTCCTCCACCAAACACAATGTACTGAGATTAGAATTTATGACGATAATGTAGTCTGACTGTTTTCACGTTATATGTCCAAATGATATTTTAATGAAAGCGCACTCTGCAAACAGTGCAATGCTAGAATAACCTTTCATAAGAAGTCACCTTTGAGTTAATCCAGCAATAAATCAACGTTCTTTTACCTCAAAAAGCAACACGATACAAACAGTGCAAAGTAACAACGTACCTGGTGTAAGGATGTTTTTGCATTCTGGATGCACTGGATTATCCTCAGTCTTGTAGAGCACCTTTGAAAGGATCTGAACTAAACACCGGGTAAGCTGAAATGAAAGTGTGTACATAAATAAAACGAGTATACAGAAATAAATGCATTAGGGGTTTTTTTTCCCCTCATAAAAAGAAGCTACAGCATACCAGATCCTCTCTTCGGCTGTCCTGCTCAACTGGTATGGAATCTCCATCTGGGATAGTAAAAGCTTTGTATCATATTTGTGCAAATCGTAATGCACATTTTTTAAGCTTATTCATCTCGATATCACAAATTATACATACGTTTTACTTGTGAAAAAAAAAACGAAAATTCCCATTTTTAATTCCCGTAACATGTCGTGTCGCTGACCATGGTGCTGAAATCATTTCTGCAATGATTCTTTATGAGAATTCCACTTACCCGCAGCGAGGAAAACAACCAAGCAGACCAAAGCCGCAAACTTCATGATGCACACAGATGTTGTCTGCTGTTAATCTTATCCGGCGAGGTCTTTGTCTTGTTTTGCAGACTCAAGAGGCAGAGACAAGCTCCGCTCCGCGTGTTGCAGCTCGGAGTGCGCGCTGCGTCTGTTTTGAGCGCGCGGGACACACAGGGTCTGAGCTCGTGAGTTCGTGGTTGCTTACGTCACGCCTAATGTGAAACCATAATGAGACCCCCGCCACCCCCACTTAAATTAAATGATCTAATCTTCCTCTTCGGCCTGTGTATAGTATTGAAGATGCATTTATATTGGTGCATATATACTGATTTATATATTTAAAAAAAAATCTGTCATCACTTTCCAATCCAGGAGTTGTATGTGTTGCGTTACATTAAGCAGGATATTGGGGCAAGTTGTCACATGGGCTTTCAAGTTTTGAGTCAAAAGTCCAACTTCAAATCCTTGTTTCGTCTAGCATGGGTTTTGTGTTAAATTCCAACACATTCAAATAAAGAGATAAAATGTACTTTTTTTTACATAAATAGTAACCCTACTGGTAAACCCTAGACAAAATATCCCCACAAATATGGCAATATCTAAAATCTGTGTCTCCATGAGGAAAACAGCTTAAGCCTAAATAATACTAAGTTAAAAATGTTAAAATGCAGAATGGTCTTCGTTTCCTGTTTACACTTCTGGGCTTCGGGGTCTATACGACCCCAACTATCGATTGAGTAATTGTACAAAAAATATATATTTGTAATCATACAAATAATATATAATTTTTTTTTTTTGTTGTTGTTTACTTCTCATCTATTCATTAATGCTGTGTTTTTGGAGATATAACGTACTTTTGTATCCATATTACCACACAATTCCTCAACTACACCATTAGCTTGCATGTGAAATATTTTTTTTTTTTATGATGCGGTGCATTTATGCTCTAGTAGTAGGCCTTCATTTCTGTGTAAAAAATTTCAGATTTATGCGGTTTTTTTTTTTTTTTGTTTTTTGACACATGAAGAAAATATATTTAGTTTTTTTTTCACGTTTCCCATTCATTTCAATGTGAAATTTGGAAAGTCCCCATAAAACATGAAAACACAGTGTGTGTGTGTGTGTGTGTGTGTGTGTGTGTGTGTGTGTGTGTTGCCTTCCAGTCATATGAAATCTGTCAGTCCAATATAGCAATAAGAAACAGTATAATGCCAAATCTAGTTAAATCCCTGCAAGATCTTGCAAAATGATTCATTTAATTATTGTTAATTAGGATATCTGAATAATGCCTATCATCATACATTATTTTAATAAAAGTGGTGCAGCTCACAGACATCAACTTCATTCATGGGTCGTATGTGTCATGAGGGAATTGTGACTGCAAACTAATGTTTGGTACAGGTGCTCTGAGTTTCAGAAGGATTGCACCTGGGATGCTGCAGTTGCTGTGGTAACGAGTCCATCATGGGGCGATGGGAGTTTTTTCAAAGCGGCCGAATGTTAAAAGAGGCTTTGATTTATCATCCACTCGAGCAGAACAAGGAATGGGCCACATTTTAGCCTGTCAAAACCGGGCAGAGGAAGCGGTGGCTTGAGAAGGATCAGTAATGTGACTTTACATTTTCATGTGAGACAGAGTGTACAGGTAAGTGTAATACTCAAAAATGCACATTTAAGTCCTCTATATCTGCAAAAATGAGAGTTTCAGTAATGATGGACATTGGTTTAAAAAAATTATATAGCTACAGGTCTTATTGGTTTTAGAGTCATATTTTTTTTATACCCATACAGTGTTTTAGGCATTTATCTGTATACTTTAGTTGCATTGTTGTCTTGGGCTTGATTTAGTAGTAACAAAACATCTGCTTTATTATCACTATCTGTTTGTGTTCAGATATGCATTCTAGTGTTTCAAGATGATTTCTATTAAATCAAATTAGTGTGTTACCTTTATCACATACAGTCGGCTACATCTGCAATTAAAAGGTGTGGGTGTTACGAATGTAACATGGCCTTTGTGACAATTCAATTTGCCACTTTCACCTTCCTGTTTGGCTATTGCACTTGACATATTATGAAATATCTGACTGAGCTATGATACTGTCAGACTGGCTCTGAAAAGCACTGATAGATGTCATTTAATTAAATATAGCATAATGAGTCTCATGAATAAATATAATTACATAGCCCTGTCTGAATATTTGTCACCATATACTAATGGATACCATCATACACTGTTGTTTAATGTTCCAAACTGCAACACGAATCAAGTAATATCCCAAAATTGATCATGTTTATTATCATCTCGGCCTCTCCCCTGGGAAATCCAGACCTTTGGCACGCTTAGGAAAAATCCCACATCCCTATCTATCATGTTTGTAGCTATTCAGCAGTGAAGCTCGAATGCAATGAATTATAGAGACATCATGTCTCTAAAGCCAAAACCCCTGTCCATAATTTATTCAGTCAAAAGTGAAGATTGCGCATATGTAGACACGACAAACAGGGAGAATTAGATGCAGGGTGCAATAGCTTGTACATATTAGCTGATGTACTAATTGAGTAGAGCTCGTGTGAGTTGTCTGGCTTTAATCAAATGCATTTGCATACAGAAACAAAAAAAGGAGGCCATGCACGGCACACACGATTTCTTTGATCCTCTTTTTTGAATCCACAGCATCATAAAACGAGATATATTTCTGAATTTGTATCCAATATTGCCGATGGTCCGAGGTTGGGCGGTTGTAGAGTAAATATATCGCGGCTTGACAGCTTCCCCGAAGCGCTTTGTCAGCAAACACACACACACACACACACACACACACACGCAGCACCACAGATATGTCACAGTCGATGAAACAATATAATAGCTACTCCTGGCATAGAAATTACGAGTTAAATGATTGTGGAATACAAAATTGCACACCTACTCACGTGTTTAAAAAAAACATTAAATGAAAGATAATTTTTGTAAGTTTTAATTAAAGATTAGTTGGCCTATTAAGAACAAACTGCCTTGGATAACTAAAGTGTCTCTGTCTGTCTGTGAAATCCAGATTATCAGTTGTGATGATCTCATCCTCCAGTCTTTCAGATAATCAAATGAGAGAGTGATGAAATGAGAGATGCTGATAAGCGCAGACTGCCTTAAAAGACGATCCCAGCCAATTTAGAGACTTAATCCAATCCTTCCAAAAGTTTCCACATCAAAGATGACCTGCTGATCAACTTTAATTCATCAATTACCCCGCGAGGTCACACTTGTCAGCCGACCGCACCCCCGGTGCCCTATCTGAAATCGATCAGACGTCACACATGATGATCCGGATGAAAACTGTTTAACTGAGATCTGACATTTGAACACTGTGACCAGACTGATCCCTGATGCCTCGGGTCTGACGTGATCTCTCGTTTGGATAATATTAGGAGGCTTAAACATCAGCCTGGTGTTCCAGCATGACCAGCGGCATTGTGAAACTAAACCAAGAGGTAAATGCGAGACTGCACCGCTCAGTTCTGGGCAAAGATGAATGTCAATGAGGTTGACCAAATGCTGCCCTGTGGCTCTTTTCATAACAATGAAAAAAGACAAGGACAAGAATTCAGATTGACAACCGTATGGGACTGTTTTCATCAGGTAAGCATCAGAACTTTGGAAGTTTGCTAAAAGTCAAGTCACCTTTATTTCTATAGCGTTTTGTTTCAAAGCACCTTTTCAGCAGAATAAATGATGAACACAGAGCAAAACAGCTCTAAAAAATACATTAATGTCATTATTCAGTTGAAAAAGAACAACTGTTTATGTGACAGTAAAGATAATGATAATGTTAAAAAAAGATTTCTATTTTTAAAAAAAAATGCTACTCTGTTGAGGCAGCGCAACATGCAGAAAACATCATGTGACACTGAAGACTGGAGTAATGATGCTGAAAATTCAGCTTTGAATCACAGCAATAAATTAAAGTTCCTGTGAAGATTTCATAAAGTCTCCATGAAATCAAAATCGAAGTTTTTTGGCTTTTAGTATGAATATGTTCTTAAAGGGGACATATCATGCTAAATCCACTTTTTTAGGCCTTGAATGCATTTTGTTCTATATTTATAGTGTTTATAAGTACCGAAGAGTTGAAATTATTATCTTCAGATGCTCCATATATATCTTTATATTTTGTTTTGGTCATATCTTGCAACCTGTTCTGATTTTACTGTTCTCTATGACAATTACGTCACAGTATTTGCACCAGAACTGACAAATAAGGACATTGACAGGCAAAACTTCCAAAATCTCTGTGTAAACAATGAGTGACATGCACGCGTAAGAGATCACTTCCGGCGCATGCGCAGACCCGTGCCGTCAGGTTACACAAGGTAAAAACGATATAAATACTGTTCGTTTTCTCACACAAACCGCTCGTTTTGTGTCTTAGGCCATCAATGTGTACTTACATTTACGAGTCATTAAATCATGTTTAATTTGGACTTCTCTGTGCATGCTCTTTGAGGTGGTGACCATAGACCTCCATTATATGACTGACAGACACAAACAGTTTGACCTAAAAATATCAAAATTGAAAATACTGTGGAAACAAAGACACCTACATCTTGGTTGCCCTTGAGGTAAGCTAAAACATATCAAAAATTAATTTCAAAGTAAACTAATATGAAAAAACGGAGGAGTATCCCTAGTCCCAGACTAAAATCCTGGCCTGTTTGTGAACAAAAAGTCCTTTATAACAGAAGAAATTTAAGAAAAAAATAAATCGGCCATTCAACTTATTCTCTCGAAACAAAATTAAAATTGAAAGGATCCCTCTAGCTTCTCCTTTTTATTCAATTACATGAATACCAGTCTAATTCTAATTCAGTGAGCAGTCTACATCAGTTAGTCTTAAATACACAAACGGCAGCATCAGACTTAATCACACCACTCGTTCATGTAAATGAATGTGAACTGTATCTAATAAGATCTCTTATTTTCTGATATCAGGCCTTTTTTGCGTGTCATTATTTGATGTTTATTTGTGTTTCACTAATGACAAAAAGTGCATGGGCAGATGGGCAGACATGCTTTTGTTTCTGTTATTGCGGGTATCGGCTATGTGAGGACCTGCATTCGTGTCTGTTTGAAGCCTCCTCTCTTCGCCCCACTCAAAATAATTGAAATGTGGA